ATCATTTCTTTTTAACCCTTCTACTTCCACTTGAAACATAAATAAGCCTTAGAAGCCTAAGAGACAAGGCCATCCGTTTTCAACAGACACCAAACAGGGTACAGGAATCAGATTCCTACACTTAGCTTTAGTTTCCAAAGTTCTGCATGAGTTTCAATTTAAGTCAATACCATTGTGTTTGATAACCCCACTATAGATGGCTATGTACATTACACATAGAATGAGAGTGTTACGGTACATACATACACCAACGAAGGCTGAATATCATATACCGTATATCACAAATGAAATTTCAAATCACTAGGGAAAAAGGCTGCTTAACAGAACATTCAGATGGTTCCAGGAAAAACTGCTAGGAAATTTCCAACTGAAAATTCATTTTGAAATGAACATTTTCATAGAATGTAATACATTCATTCACCTTTACAGAGAAAATTACACGGGGCTGAAAATCATGCCTAAGTGCACAGAAAACTTTATGAAAGTAAAATAAACAACATTATAGCCCTGACTTAAATGGAGCTTCTGTCAAACTTAAGTCTTGAGATGGAACGTGCGATGCAGACAGCCCACAAAGATCAGGAAAGAGTGTTTGTTAACTTGGATCTTTAATGAGTACTTTTGGGAAGAGCACAAACAACTGTCAAAATCATATTGAAGACCAACAGCCAGTCAGGTGAATAATTTCAGCATATATATAATATTGTATATTTCCAGAATCATACATTATATAAATTAGAATTCCAGAATAACACACATTTATAAAGTATATAATTCCAGAATCACATATATATAAAATATTATATAATTCCAGAATCTCACACACACACACACACACACACACACATATATGTAATATAATTCCAGAATCACTATCCAAATGCCACAGTTTGCCAATGCTGAGAAACGTCCTGTAAGAATGAGGCAAATTATTAATTACGAAAAGCCAAAAGTAGAAGAAACGTGGTTAATACTTTTTTTTTCCCAAAAACAGAAACATTTAGAGTAAGCACTGACTAACAACGGTAACCACTAGACCAGTGACTGCTTAAAAGGGAACCAAAATGAACCAAAGGTTAAAATGAAAACATCCATTATAAACATTTTTTCATGTGTTACTAATATTTATCTTTCTAGTTAACTTTCCTGTCGCTTTACCAGACAAAATAAGAATTTATAACATGATATAATCATTTCAACATTTTCTTTTTTTTTTTTCTTAAGATGCTTTGGGGGTAAAAATGGAAAAATTAGAATGCTGTACTTCTGTTAAACAGCGCACCCTTGTGGTTTGTACTGCATCACAAGCAATAGCAGCTTTTTTTCATATTTTTTCTTTCAGGTATGTTTTCATATTTCATTGTTATTACTTTCAGTGACTAAAAACATAACATTTGTTAAAATGTCAACTAAACTGTTCAAGTATATGCATAACACTTCATTGTATTTTATATTTTATTTAAAATTTAAAACAAAATAAGCAACATTCATTCACAGACAGACATGTTCTGCTGAACTTCATGAGTATTTGAATATAAACAAGATCAACTCAAGAGTTATTATGATTTATATAAGTATCCTATCTATAGGCCCCCACACAAATTAGACCACACAGGACAAGTTCGGAGAAGGTAATGATTATTCTTAGGACATTCTTCATTAGGAATCAACTCGGTGGAGAAGTGGGGCAACAGAAGACACAGGCGGCATCATTCCATTCTGAAAGGATGAGAAGTGAGACTTTACATGAGCAACAATGACTCATTAAACTGCTTAGAGTTTAGAGAGTCCTGAAATTGATAAGGAATAGAAGTTTAAAAGGAAAATTATGATCGGTCAATAGATGAACATGAGACCCAAAAAAATGATCGTCAATACAGTTTCTGACTTGGGAAGTGGTAGAGAAGAAACACAAATGTGCCAGTCAGCCACAGAGAGCAATGTGAAGACAAGGTAAGCAGGTTCGCTTCTGACTCTCTACTCTGAATTTCGCTGGCAATGACTTGAACAGAGGGAATGGAAGAATAAATGAAAGCCTGGTCTCTAATAGACGTGAAAACTATGAGACAGACACACACCAATATGATTCTGAACTTCTGAATACAGGGCAAAAACGGGATTGCATGTCAAATGTGCTGATTTCCATACAATGATGAGTCAGTAAGTATTCATGTATTCAGATCTAACAGCAAGAAGATGAAGATCAGAATTACAAAGCAGGCGTAGTAGATTTCTAGGGATGCTATAAAAACTCGCATGGCTTAAAACAGGTTCTGAAGGCCAGAAGTCTAAAATCAGAGCATGCAGAGAGACCTGCTCCCTGCCCTTGCCTACTGTAGTCTCTGTTGGCTTCCGGTGTTCCTGTATAGCAGAACTCCCAGCCTGGCCTGGGTCTGCACATGGCCTTCTCTTCTGTCTCCATGCTGTGAGAATCATCTTAAAAGGATCTTCGCCTTTGCATTCTGGCCCAACTTAAAGCAAGGTGGCGGTAGCTCCAAACTGAAATCCGTATGCATGCCCTCTATTTCTACATCATGTTTACATGCATTAGGGCTTAATAAAGAGAGGTAGAGGGTCATATGCAGACAAGCAAAACGGAAGCAGGCTTCCAGAGAGGTGGGATTCTTCTTCCCAGAAGGCACCTTGAGGAGAAATGACAGGAAAGCACATGGGTTGGTTCTGAAACAAGTAACAATGGGGCATGGGGAGGAGCCACAGGCCTGTAAAATACTCACACCAGTGGCCATGTAGCAAAATCTAAACCTTAGAAACTGTACCATGGTTAAATAAGAACCTCAATACAACTCTTAGAGGGGCATTATTCAAACCACTGTGGTTGAAAGCCACTTACGAATTCAACAACAACAACAAAATAAATAGCCTTTCTTAAAGAGTAGAGTAAGTAGACTTAAGATCATAGACTAGGGTATGACTAGAAGAGAAAATGGGTAATGGATAAAGACAGGAATAGTTTTTTTTCTTTTTTTAAAAAAAGAAGACTATCAAGATGAAGAAAGAGCTAAAAATGAAGGGTGATTAGTCACATAAAATCCGGCCATGAGTTTAAGTAGTAAGTGTCGAGATGCGCAGGAAGGCATGAGTTCTTGCGTGTACATGAGTAGACACACACAGAAAGACATAGTCCCGGCTTAATTATTAAGGATTTTGGTAATGAATAAACAAAAAATGGTTCCTCAGCTCCTCTAGGGAAAAACAAATAATTCTGGTTCCTGTTGAACAATACATCAAAGAACTACCCAGATGTTCCAGATCAAAAGACAAACTAATCGGAAAATTGCAAAAAGATGTGTAATTTGCCAAAGGCAATATACAAAAAAATTTACTTAACACAGGGCACCAGGTGGTCACAGAGCAGAGGGTGAGAATCAAAGGAACCAGCTCTCTTTCCATGAGGTCACTGGTGGCATGGTTCAGACATGCATGAGGCAGACACTAGTTAGACGATCCAAACTCCTTGGAAATGGAAGCACACAGAAAGCTCCTGGGATGGCCTAAATGAAGACGGCTGGAAACGACGTAACTTCTGTACCGAAGGAAGGCTAGCTTGAAAGTTCCACGAGCATATAAGAGTTCAGTTTTAAGGCAATTAAAGTGGAAAAGAATCTTTGCAAGGTTCTTGTTCCTGTAAAGAAGTATAAAGGGGCTACAGCACAAAAGGGAGCCTCTAGGACCAGCCTTGTCCTTTCTTCCTTGCCCAGCTGCAGTTTGGTTCTTGCTCAAGCCCAAGCACGCACTACCCTTGACTGAATCTGAGGAATCTGAACGGAGTCTTTCACCCAACTATTGTGCTCCCAAACACATTTGTGACGAAACACAGAGCACTCCTTTTCTGTGAACCACTGTCCAAATACAGAATAAATACATTGCAAGTTTTGTCAGCAAGTGACTCTCTCGGGGTTGGGAGCAATTACCCCACTGTTTTTGTAAGATGATATTTTTATGCCACGGTATTAACTTACATGAGAAAATACTAAGTTTTAAAAGAGTTCATATCTCCGAGTTGCTAACCATCCAACAGGGGGAATAAAATCCCTCAACTTCAATACTGGAGCACTTCTCAGTGTCTAAGTAACTCAAAATACATTTTGCTATTCACGTCATTTAAATGGCTCTATCTGACTATAAATAATAGCATATATAGTGTTATGGCTCATCATATTTACCTAAATCTCATTTATGCTCCACTAAATAAAGCAAGGGAAGTGTGGGTATTTTTAGATAAATCGATCTCATAAAACAAAGTTTCAGGGAAACTTTGGCATTAAATATTTTTAGTTTAAACTGAGGTAGTCTGGCAAGGTGGCTTAGCTGGTAAAGGGATGGGGCCTTCCACCAAGCCTGATGACCCAGGTGCAATCTTTGGAACTGACATGCTAGAAGGACAGAATACACTCACATATTTCTCTAACCTCCACGTGCCACACACAACACACACCCGTACTAAAATAAATATTTTTTTGTAAATAGAGATAAAGGCTTATATGTACATCATCCCCTCTGGATAGACAATGTAAGTAAAATGGCAGCATATTCTATTAAAAGGCTTGTTTTTTTTTTAAAAAAAAAAGCACTGATAGATCAAGTAGACACTAGGATTTCCCCTAGAGAATCTCTGAAGATACCAAAGGCTAGAAACCCAAAAATGGAACGTACAGAGCCATGTGGTTGTTTAAAAGGTTCATACTGAAGATATACATCTCGTTCCTAAAACATGCAACCAGTGTAGAGGAGAACGGAGTATAGCAAGATGAAATTTGCAGATCACGCAACAGGTTGAGGAAGGAAGCTCCTTAAAAGTGACCTATATTCAAACTACGGCCCAAGCATCCATGACCTTTCTCTATCAACCTTGTCGGTAATTATTCCAGTACTGTTTCTCTCTCAGTAGTCTGTGTGGAGAAGGACAAGTTAGATAGAGAAAAACAGACACCTCCGTGCTGCAACCTGAAAAAGAAAACAAACAAATAAACCCAGCACACCTTGTCAGCGTCGTCCACGCTTGTGGATCTCACCACGCACGAAGCTCGCCTCTCCTGGCCTTGCACAGTGCCCTGCGACGTGGGCATAGGGGGCAGCGGGGCGCGCCTCTTCTTGGGCGCGTCCGAGGGTAGTGTGTTGGAAATGTAGGGTTTGGAAATGGTGTTGGACCTTGTAAAAGACGGACGGTGCTTGCTCACTAGCGGGGTCGCAGGTGCGCTGGCAGTCTAAAGGAGAATCAGAAGGCAACGGCTGTTTATAATCAAAATAAAAACCACCTTAAAAATACTTGGTAAGGACCTTAACATGCTGCGTGAGAATGCTTACCTGTTCCCGCTTTTTCTTACTGCGCTGGAAAAAGCTGAAAATCCCTCGGTTTTCTTTCTCCTTCACAATGTCTGGGGTCTGCAGTACTTGGCAGGACTCTGAAAAAGATGAAAAACCATTTCCTCTTTGTTCCATGGGTGTAACGTTCATTTCCAATGTTTCTTTTCTAGTCTCCCCTTTGAAGGCGTTTCTGGTGATACACGTTACCAGTAACAGCTACTCGCTAGGCAGTATATACCTCATCCAATTCTCAAAGCGACAAAAGAGTAGTCACCGTAGTAGACCAGAGGGAAGGGAAGCTGAAGGAATTGAAGACCCACAGCCAGGGCCACGAGGCACAGCTAGACAGTAAACTCAGCTCTGCAGGCTGTATGAAGACCAGCATTCCAGAAGCAAAGTAAGAAGGCTACCGCACAGTGACGCATGATGCTTGTCCCACCCAGCTTGACCTTCTGCTGATTTCAGCTACGATTTTGTCAGCGCTAAACAGCCATGAAGTGTTATTTCACTCTCAAAAACATGAGCCGCTATAATTACAGATGCCACTCTACAGGCAAGCATCTTCAAGGGAGCCAAACAAGCCACACATGGAAAACGCTCCAAGAAAATTAAACCTGTATTGAATGCCTACAGATTTTTTTTTCTCCTTGCCATCCATCCTGATTGAAAACCCACCATAATGACCATTTACAAGGTACTGGGTGTCACAAGTAATCCCGAAATGACTTAGCGCATAGAAGGGAGTAGGTGGGTTATAGGGTATTTGCCAACACTAGGCAATTCTTAATCAAGGACTTGAGTTTCCACAGATCTTGGTACCGCAAGGGTTCAGAAGCAATCTCTCCCAGGCACTGAGGGAAGAACGGGCCAAATAATGTCTCATAAATGCTATTTTCTTAACCTAGTAGTTCCGGTAGGGCCAGAATTACCAGGACCTAAAGGTTAACAGTGCTAAAATTGAACATTAGTTAGAATGGTTAGCATCAAATTTCAAGGCTGTATCCAGAATCTTTCTTTAAAATCCTGCCTCCCCCCACCAAAAAAAAAGCCTGTTTCCTAATGTCAACAGAAAGAATCAATAACCAAGGGCCAAGCTAGCAGAAAGGCCACTGTGTCCCAGTATACTTCCAATACAGTATCCCACTGAAAGGAATCACAGCTGCTTTGAATTAGCTGATTTGCTGTTTGTATAAAGCATGGAGATACAAACAACTCGTCACGTCAGGATGAAAGTTACCACATTCCAGTGGGAATCATCCAAAGGACTTAGGAGCCATCCTATAATGTAGGACGATTTAGTATCTATATATTGAAACGTTTCACATGGGCATGAGAAACTGAATTCGGATTCCCTGATGCCACATAAGGCTGAAGGAGAGAACACACATCTATAATCCGAGCACTCCTACTGTGTGATGGGAATCAGACAGGAGAATCCCGGGAAGCCATGGGCCCTCAAGCTTGGCACGCACAACAGTAAGGACCCTGTCTCGAATGAGGTGGAACACATACAACGAACAATCTGCTCCACGCATGTCATAGCGCACACTCCTGCGCTGCTATCCCACTGGCCCTCCACATCCACACACACAAGATTAAAAAAAGAAATGCTGGTAGCTAAAAGGAAGGTTGCATAAGACTAGCACCCTTTCTCAGTTCCTTAAAACACACACAGCGAAGGCTGATGATTAGCGATGTTATTACTGTGTCTCTAAGTCGAAGTACAAACCACTATTTAACAAGGGTGTTTTGTTTTCCTGGAAAAGGGATCTCTCTGTGCAGCTCAGGGTGGCCTTGCAGCCCTCGGCTTACACAATTCTCCTCTACCTCCTGCGGTGCTGGAACTACAGGCAAGCATCATTTGGTGCTTCTGAAGGATCCTTGCCACAAATGAGCTCACCCAAGCCTGTCAAGTCTCTGCTTTATAGTCAGTTGACAGGAACAAAAAAAAGTAGGTGAAGCTATACCCACAGGGTGCATGGAGCCAATCCTGGAAGACAGAGACTATGAGAGGAGCCATGGAGCCAAAGGACTTGCTGACTTTAGCAAAAGAACTATAAATTCAAAGGTGGGGGGGGGGCTGTGGAAAATATCTCTTCCACAAAGACATGAGAGGTTTATGCAAATCATAGTGCAAGTTTAATGATATTTAAAACAAAGCACTTCTCATAAAAATTTGAGAGAAAGCTTAAATGGGACTTAGAAGTAAATGTACAATCTTAAATGATTTTATTTAAATAAGTATTTAAGCAATAAACAAATGGTGACAATGTCCCAACTAATGAAGAGAGGCAGAGAGAATGAGCTGGCTACATTTTTTGGTTTTTTGTTTTTTGTTTCTGTTTTTGGAGTGTGTGTCAATTTGACCCAAGCTATGGTTATCTGGAAAAGCGGGGAAGATTTCAATTTAGAAAAGGCCTCTCTCACCAGATTGCCTGTAGGCAAGCCTGTGGAGCATTTTCTTGATTAATAAGTGATGTGGGAAGGCCCAACCTCCTGTGGGTGGTGTGTCATCCCGGGGCTGGTGATATTGGGTTGTAGGAGAAAGTCATGGCCTCGGCTTCAATTCCTGTCGCCAGGTTTCTGCCCTGCTTGAGTTCCTGCCTCTGCCTCCCTTAATGACAGACTGTGAGCAGGACCTTTTCCTTCTCAAGTTGCTTTTGGTCAAAATGCTTTTACATCCCAGCAGCGAGAAGGAAAAGTATGAAAGGCAGCTAATATCGCAATACGAATTAGTGCAATCGGTCACAGCAACACACTGCATTTCAGAAATTGAAATATCAATAACTCCAACACGAACTAAGTAGGACATGCTGCGCAAGGGCCTTCCTCAGGCTAACAGGGAACCATGAGGGCATGGGTAGCGCCGCAAGGCTAAAGGTTCTTCATATGCTTTACTTCTGAGACCACCTCTGTGAAGGAGAAAACAAGAGCTTCATTCTGAGCTGGTTTTCCCCACTGGTCTAGGTTAGCCAGCGGTGTGACAAATAAAAATAAAAACAAAACAAAGCCCAGCATTCCATTTACATTTAAGGAATCAAGTGCCCTGATCTGAATCACTTGGGAACTCACGGACCCATTCAGCAGGAATGGTCAGAATATGTCAAATCATGCTTCCTCTGGGACACCTGGCACACACACACACACACACACACACCCCGCCACACACACACAGCAGGTCAGCCCTCCTCAATTAAAGCTGTGTACACGTGAAGCCTTGCCTTTCTTAAGGAAATTGGCTCAAGCACTGCAACCTCCTGATTCTAGAGAGAGACCAGAAGTCCCTCCACACACAGTCTGAAGGCTTCTGCTGACACCCCACCAAGTCGAGGGGTAAGAACATCTACCAGGTTTGGATTGACCTGACCGGCTGGACTCTGACACTGTAAAATGAGCTCTCCTGCCTCCACAAGACCAGTCCTGGTGGGTTCTGTTGATAGCAGTTAAGCCTCTGAAAAACCCCATACACTGAAGGCCAGGCTAGATGGGACATTAGCAATCAATGTATGAAACACTTTGAAGTTGAGCCCAAGAAGATCATGGGACATGGTCAGGAGCAAGCCAAGTATGAGCACCACTTCTAGAAGGAAGCACAGACAATTTGTCCCTATTTCCCGACTATCCCAGAAGTAGAATCCAGACATATAAAGGTACCCTCCCTCGAAACTTGCCACCCTGGGTTAACAGCCAAGGGAGCGTCAGAATTAAAGGGCCTAGTTTCTGAGTCTCTGCCAGGGTATATTTTAAGATAGGAATTTTTACCTCCTTTGATTAGACTAGCCTGTAATAGCCACCAAGAATAAATCAACACACACTTGCTCCTGTAGGCTTACTGAGCAAAGCCTGGCAACATGTACTATGCAGTTTAACAAGGTTTGCTTTTAGGCAGGCTAGTAACAATTAGACAGATCAGAGATCTGAGCCGATTCTTTTTTAATGGAGGAAAAAAAAAGATTTCTAAATTCTATTATCAAATAATTTTAATCAAATCATTCCTATGAAAGTAATATATATATATATGTATGTATTCGTTATAAATCCTATAACATAAAGAAATACAAAAACTTGCCCACAGACCTACCTCTCAAAGCAAATCACTATTAAGTATTTTATGTATTTCCTTTCGGAAGTTTAACATCAAACACTTTTTATACCACAGTGTTAAATGCCTTTATAAGCCTTTAAAGCTAATTTTAACATAAAATTTTCATGATATTATAAAATTCTCACAAAAGATTAAACAGTGGCAGAAGAAAAAAATGCTGTGATTCAAGAGCAACGCCCACCTCTTCTCAACAGCACTCTGTGGGAAGCGGCTCAGACCCTTCCACGGAATCACCCGAGGATTCGTCCACGCTCACGTCCAAGCAGGCTCCTACCCAAATCATTTTCCCCCACATGAGAGGAACAAATTCCTTTTCCCACACTTTTTGCACAATATATTTCCCATATTGTTTTTAGTGTATGGGATTTTTAAAAAATGTATGTAGGTAAGGCTGGCCTCAAACTTGGAACCCTTCCACACCCCCTAAGCAATGAATTGCAGATCTATATACTAGTACAGCCAGTTCTAGAATGACACCATTGATCAGAACTCTGTAGAAGTGAGATTATTATAATTAGAACCAGAAATCAATAGAGGGAACCTATAAATTCATTTTTTAGGAAATTAAACCCCTAAGATTTTCTCAGTTAAAATCTATTATGGGATATATGTGTTAGTAATGTTAAGGAAATAAGATTAGAATCCCAGTTTTAATCGGTCCAATTCTGTGTTATCATTTACAACTTCTACTGATTCATGTATCTTACCTTGGAGAGATGACTTACGGAAGGCAGTGACAGAGGGGGCTACAGCAAGAGGGAGTAAAAAAGGGGAAATGACTGTGATGATGATGACCATTAACTATTAAACATCACTGACTCAAAACAGCAGTCCGAGGATTACACTGGACCACACCCTCAGAGTAATGTCTGAAATTCTCTGTGCAGCGTGCATTAACTATGTCTTCCACTACACCCTCATTTCCCTGAATGAAAGAAATTCACACTGAATATCTAAAGCTGCCTTGGTCTACCAGGCATAGGGGGGGCGGGGGGTGGATATCAACCTCTTTTGAGATCTCCACATTTTGATGCACCCCCTCTTTGTACGAATGAAAACTCTGCTATCTAGAAAATTTGGGGAAGTCTTTATGATTCATTTTCTATGCAAGTTTACCCTGGGTGCTGACCTAAGAAAAGAATCCAATCAAAGTCTCACACAAAAATGTATTAAGTCTTCATAAACAAACTACCCCCTTCATTAGAACAGACATGGGCTGGCACGGGAGTATCAACTTTATTTACATCCAAAAGGCACAAGAAAGTAAGTTAAATCCCACCCAAAGCAGGACATGGTGGCATGAGACTGTCATCCTAAACTACTAAACAAGTTGGAACAGGAGGATTTCTTGAGCTCAGAAGTTTAAGCCCAAGCTAAGCATCCTGGTGAAACCTGACCACAAGAAAAAAAACAAAGCTACCAAAATATAAAATATGATGATAGCCACGAGGATCACTTTTCTTCCCATTTTAGTAACCGCTATAAAGTTAAATTTTACAGTTGGTTTGATTTACTTATTTCTATTCAACTTTTTTCTTCTTATCCTCTTTCCATCTATATGATTGATCCATTGAATCATTGGCATTATGAAGCTGGGAGCACCTATCTAGACACAATACACAAAACACACAACACACAAACACACAAATCGTTTAAGTGGGGAAGGGGGAAAAGTCGACTTACCTCTGCTGATATCCATGGCGTATAACTCTCTTAGTCCCAAGTCATTAAGAGATTTTGTCAAGTCCAGGGGCTCCTGAGCCTGGTAGTCCTTCAGCAACACTGTATGCAAGGGATCAAACTCACATTTGCTACATATAATGGGAGCAAGATCTTGCAGCGGTGCATGGGGACTAACTCTCACTATGGCCTTCTGGGTTTTCTTAAAGTTAATCACGACCCGGACAGTTTTCTGAAAGGTAAATTAAAGCCACAGTTACAACAGGATTTATTTACTAAAACGACATTGCTACAAATGCATCTAGAGTGATTATCTAGAATAGCTGACCACAACTATCGGTTCTGTAACATGGGGATTAAACAGATACACCACGGTCGTTTCCTGCAGCACTACCCTGAGTGACGCATTACTCGAGGCTTTGCATCTCTTCAGCAAACAGTTTCTTTCCACCCTTTTCTTCTCCTGCTGGGAAATTTTCCTTCTCATTAATGCTATGTCCTAACTTTAAAACAAATTCTAAGAAAAGAAAATTTTCAGTTTCTTGTTTTTAACTTTTTTTAAATGATCCCAGGGATTGAATTTAAGGTTTTATTCAGGCTAGACAGGTGTTCAACTACCTGGCCCTCTTTCCAATTTTCATATTAATACAGAGTGTCACTAAGTCATCCTGGCTGGACCTGAACTCAATCGATAGCCAAGGTATGTCTTGAATTTGTGATCTTGCTGTTGCAGCCTAAGTATCTGGAATTACAGCCATGCACCAGGCCTAGCTCAATTTGTTTCTTTAATAGTTAAATTAAATTCAAAATTCGTTTTTATTTTTATTTATTTATTCATTTATTTATTTAATGAGACAGGGTTTCTCTGTATTACTTTGAAGCCTGTCCTAGAACTAGCTCTTGTAGACCAGGCTGGCCTTGAATTTACAGAGATTTGCCTGCCTCTGCCTCTGCCTCTGCCTCTGCCTCCCAAGTGCTAGGATTAAAGGCATGTACCCCTACCACCCAGCAAATTCAAAATTCTTTTAAGTTTGTTTCTATTTAACTGTTTTATTTTTATTAGTTTTCTGAGACAGGGTTTCTTTGTACAGCCCTGGCTATCCCAGAACTCACTATAGACCCAAGCTGGCCTCAAACTCAGAGATCTGCCTGGCTCTGCCTCCCAAGTGCTGGGATTAAAGGCATGCATCATCGCCACCCAGCTAAAATACTTGAAAGTAAAATATTAAGCACATTATATCCAACAAGGACAAAGACTCATATGTGGTGTTACTAATATTTTACATTGTGTTTTAAAGTATTTATTTTCACATTATCAAATGTGCACAAGAACAATACCTATGTTTATATTGTTTTCTATTTAAAGAATATTTGCCTTGTAATAGGGTGTCAATAGCTCATGAAAAAAATACAAAGTATTTAAAAACGTACTATTTTTCTAATAGGACCAATCAGATTAACCACACTAAGAACCTAGCATCATTCCAGGCACATGGTCAGTTGTAATTAAGAGAATACTACAGATTGTCATTGATGTTTCTTGTTTATATTACTATTGCCTCAATTAGCTCTAATGTAAGAGTAAAGAATATCAAAATCATCCTTACTTAGATATACTACCAATTCCAAAATTATTGGCACTCATCCAAGTGTCTCCCTATTTTGATGTAACTGGATTAAACCCATTAAATATGGACCTCTGTCATAAGTAGCTACACTAAACAAAATCCAGTTTTCAGATCCTCAATAATATTCATTCATAAAACTAAAATCCTGTACATAACCGAGGGGCCCCTGAGACTGGTAATCTATTTGCTACATAATAAAATTGCTCCAACATGGATCAATAGTATTGCATACAGCAGGGACATTTAGACCTAGACAGAAGACAGACATTAATATTTAATGTTCAATCAAATATTAAAGCCAAAGTTTTATAATGAAATCTTTGTCAACATTTCAGTAAATGCTTATAAGCAATGAAAACATTATAAGAATGTATGTATTCAAGTCAGTACACAAAATTTAAAGTATTTTATGAAGTAAAAAATGTTGATGTTCACAACTCAGAAGTATTTTTCAAAGTCATAAATGCAGTAAGTTTTTGAGAATAATTTTAAGAGAAAGTAAAGTAACCTCTATAAACATGAGATCACTGGCGGAATATTTGTCTAGCAAATATGAAGTCCTGGGTTTGGTACTGGTCAAACACACAAGTAAATAATGGTTAAGAATATCAACAGAATAAATTAGCATTATCGTGGTTCAAACTTTCTGAATAAAATTCACAAGTTAAAAACAACTAAGGACCTGAACAGATGACTCAGTGGCTAATAGTGAGTACTGTACAATCATGATCCATGGAACAAGCCAGGCATGGTTTCACCCGTGCCTACAGCCCCAGTTTTGTGGGGTCAGAGACAAGAGAACCACAGGTGTTTGCTGCCAGAGTAGCTAGAAAACAATAGCTCCAGGTTCAGGGAAAGACCCTGCCTCAAAGGAACAAGGCAGAAAGGGATAAGGTTAGGATACTCATTCTCCTTTCCTGGCCTCTGTACGTCCACCTGAAAATCTACTACACACACACACACACACACACACAGAAACAGAAACATTTATACTACACACACAAAAACAATTACTAAAAAAGAAAAATGAGCTACTTTAGAAGTTAATAAATCGTGATTTATGTTGTATTAATGACTTACAAAATTTATAGAAGTCAAATATATTAAATATCTATCGGTTTTTAAAATATCACGTAAATATAAAATACTTCAAAGCATAACTTAAACATGAATTACTGTCAGATCCGTATGCAGCCAATCCTGTCATTTTTAGAGCATTTGATATCTGAATTCTTCCCCCAGTTCTAGTTGACCCAAGAATGGATAACCAGCAGATAACAAAGTGGTTTGGGGAAACATGATAACCATATTCTAAAAAGCCAGATCAGAAATCTAATTTTTATTTCATTTATGATGAACCATAAATATTGATTTTTAAAAAACTGACTATCAACTGACTAAAACTGACTAGATCAACTGACTATCTCAGCCATATGAACTGATAGAATCTATGATAGAATTCTTACCTCTGGGATTATCGGTGTAGGCTTCTTCTTGTCTAGAGATTTTGGCTTTAAAATGACCTTCTCTACCTCCAGCATTCCTATTGGTGTGTTTGGCTTAAATTTGATGAGATTCTCTTCGGCAGACAGTAAGTCAATTGTGTGGCTTGACGGATTTAAGTGATACTGTGCGCAGAGGAACACGAGCAAGTCCATCATTGGCTTACTGTAAGACAGGAGGAAGGATGATCCTTAGAGTCCAACAGATTGTGCAACTTACGGAGAATCCTACTCTGGTCCTGTTTGTCTTCAGGACATAAAGCAAAGCCACAAAGTAAGAGCTATGAGAGCAACTTAAACACCTCATGATTAGGAAGACAAAATCCGAGCAGATTAAAGGTGGTGGTTAGAATTTTCAGATCTTAGAGACTAGGACTGGTTCAGAGAGTTTCTACATATTTTTATTTGTCAGGTTTTTACATTATAAATTGTAAGAGTCTTTCCTTACCCAGAACAGTTGCTTGGTTTGTAACACAGTCCACCATGTTAGAACTTGCAGTTCTCAGCAGCTCATGAACAGGCTACATCCAAAGCACTAATTGAATAAAATACCTCCTTTTGGGTTTTAAAGTGTGTGTGTGTGTGTAATATATATTCGTGAACAAGTATATGAGGACCCCCAAACGTCTAACAAGCCCTGCGGGTTCTTACATTACTCACAGAATACTCAGTATTCCCTAGGTTCTGCTGTCACTGCACAGGTATTGTGCCATGCCTGTTCCAAAGCTCTACTACACTATTTCACAGACCGGACCACATGTCAGCCACTATACTTTGCAGCCCCCACCCCCGACAATCTGCTGGAAGCCTAGGCAGACACAACTCCCTATGTACCCACAGCCAGCCTCAGCCTTGTGATTCTCCTGCCTGTCTCCCTAGTGCTAGGACTACAGCTGGGTGCCATTGTGCCTGCTTTCTGTTTTCCGCTTTTTAAATTGGGAATTTTAGGGCGCATTGCGCTTGTCACTGTTATGGCTTGTTAATATAATGTCTCAGGCTGCTTTTGTGCTACAGAGGCAGATTGAGGTTGGCATGTCCTGTACATTGTATGGCCTACAAAGCTTAATTCTTTTATCTGGCCCTTGATATAAAAAAAGTTTATGGGTCCTTCTGTAAAGCAACAGAAGTAAGAGTTTGAGTTTTTAACAATTAATGGCCGACAGGAGAATACAGGGCTGATCTCTAGGCAGGAAAAACTTCCACAAGATTCTTGCACACCCAGCGCGGCATTCAGGGTACTTCTCAGCTTGGGAGTCCCCTTTCCATGGGTACAACCTGCTGTTACACAATTAAGGTTTTTTTGTTTTGTTTTGTTTTGTGTTTTGTTTTTCAAGACAGGGTTTCTCTGCAGCTTTGGAACCTGTCCTGGAATTAGCTCTTGTAGACCAGGTTGGACTCAAACTCAGAGAGATCCGCCTGCCTCTGCCTCCCAAGTGCTAGGATTAAAGGCGTGTGCCACCACCATCTGGCCCCAATTAAGTTTTTGTTCACATTAACAGAATACTGTGGTCCTGCCTTTCTTAATAGTCAGCCCTTTAGAAAAATGAAATTATAAAATCTTAAAATCTTTTGTATGACGTTTTTCTCAAATGCCTGGTAATCCTGAATCTTTCACACTTAAGACAAAATCATTATAACAATGCACTAAGTTCCCGTTTTGTTAATTTGTTTTTTTGGTTATTCGAGATAGGGTTTCTCTGTGAACTCACTTTGTAGACCAGGCTGGCCTCAAACCCACAGAGATCCATCCATCTCTGCCTCCCAAGTATTGGGATTAAAGGTATGAGTCACCAAGCCTGGCTGAGTCCTTATTTCATGGTCAGCGGGGGCTTTTATGGACTTTGCTTTAGGGAAATCTGTGACCATTCACCCCCTTCATTTTGGGGGAAATATAAATGCCAATAAAAATGACTGTCTAATTTCAATTCTAATTGAATAATTGAAATAATTCTAATTTCAATTCAACTTCAAACTAGCTACTGGATTTCAGAAAGCTTGCCAGGGAAATGAGGCTAGGAAACTCATTATTCAGCTCCCCATGTCAATAAAACACTTGAGAATTTACATAAAGTTACCAAGGGAATTGCATAATCCTCAGGAATTGTGATGGGGGCTCTGGCCCCTTTGACCCAGACCTTATCTAGGACCCATGCACACCTGGATGTGGTCACCTCCCTCAAAGGACCCCAGTTTAGCCATCTTTCTTCCCAGGACCTGAATGGAGGCACAGAACGAAGGCAATGCTGGTACATGTTTAGAGAAACAGCCAGGGGTTATTTCCTATTTCCCCCTGGGCAATTCTGCTTGAACAGCAATATTACACACACACACACACACACACACACACACACACACACACACACACACACACAGGGAGGGAGGGAGGGAGGGAGAGAGAGATAGAGAGAGAGATCTCCACGTGCAATGGCTGATGCATGGAGAAACAGTTGTTGGCGGGAAAGCCACGTGCTTTAGAAAAAGATACGTACTGAAAACTTTAGCAAATTTGTGTGGTAGCTTTGTTCTCTACAAAGTTGTGCCATCAACAGTAAAAAGGGCTGGTATCTTTTCCAAGCATACCTTCAGACAAGGTCAATGGTTAAAACATGTAAGAGCAACCTCAGCCTTTGACACGAACACACCTCAGACTCTTCCTCCACCAGAAGGGTAAGAATCTCAGTCTAGCTCTGCCATAAGGAGCCACAACATGATCAGATAGCACGCAAACTTGAAGCAAGTGCCACATCTGATGGTCATGGCTAGACCATTCACTCCCACAGAACATAAAGTCGTCCTTCAACATCCATGAGAATAGGCCAGCCAAGTGCCAAAGAACTTTGGTCAAAGACAACAATTTCGGCTTAGGAATGACTGTCCTGATGTGATGTGACTGACAGCAGCTAGCAATCAGATGTGGCCACAGATTACCTCGGGAAAAGTACCACTTTCCTGCAGCCCAAGGCAGGAGCATCTGAGACTCAAAGCAAATTAGTGAAGAGGTTAAGGAACATGTGCACTGAACGGAAGCTGACTCACTGACATGCGCACTTGGCCTCCTCTCCCCTCATCTCCACATCGCTGTGAATTCTGATTAATCACACTACCTAGATGCAATGTTACTATTATTATTGTTTCTGTATTATTATTAATACATAGACATTTATATAATGATTTCCTGGAAGGCATATTTTAAAAAATTTAAAACAGCTAATGTTAAAAAAAAAAAGGTCTTTAGAAACTCTCTTTGATATGAAGGAATCTCTACAAGATCTCCAACTTTTTTTTTTACAAATGATCACCTTTTGTATTTAATTTCTCTTTATTATGTCATTTGAGTTTGCATCCATGATTAAAGCTATTCCTCCACTATGACTGAACCAAAGGAGGTTAAGAAATCATATTATACACAACAGTTACAATAATCATTAAGATTTTCTGACTCTCCAATCCAGAGTTTCTAGCTACATTTTAGCATCCTCATGATTCAAGGTAGTGTCCACGGTGTTGAAACGGATGGTTCGAACAGCCTATTTGCCTTGTGTTAGAACTCTACCGTAGAGATGAAAGGCTTCATCAAATCCTCCCTACATCCTCTGGGACCCTTCCGTATCTGGGACACAGAGTAGTAGTAATCCTAACCTGGTTTTGATAAGGGATGGTTAGAGCTTCTATTTCTGCACTTTAAAGATCCAGTTGGACATCAAAAGATGCAGGTCACGATGCAATAAAGGGCTCCAAGAACAGCCAGACTTGCAGAAATGACATAGGTGGACCGTCAAGCTTGCCCATGCTTAAACAAGGTCAGCTGCCAACAGGGTGCCTAGGTAATTTTTCATTCAATCTGGGACGGCAGAGCGCAAAGGAGTGCTCGCCCTTAGTAACGACTCAGGGGTAGAGGGTGCTAACAGAACACTCTAGAAAACAGGAACCGATGACAATGAGTGAAGAGATGCATTTTAAGCAACGTAAGAAGAAGTAAGATTCTTGCTGATAAGTTTTTAAATCTCCCCCAGTCTCTAACAATGAATCTCACGCAATTTCAACAAATCCTCAAAACTGCTTTGCGTCGAACTGTTTCTCCGCCTTCCGAATGCACACCAAGAACTGAGTGAGATCTGTGTAGTGAAGAACTGACAGAGGATGAAAGGGCGCTGGCTACTGTGTGTCCAAGACAGAGAACACAGCTCACCACGGCTTTAAGAAGCACTTAAGTACGCTATGAGAAACCAGGAGACGAACACAACCAGCAAGACCTGAAGGCAGTTAACGTTTGAACAGGCCATTGTTAAACCGTGAAACGGTCTCATAACCAACACTAGAAACAAAGGAAGAGTAAAAAGTCTTTTTCCTCTTAAAGCCATCATTTCATACTGTGGTTTACCTGATCATTCACCTTTAATGCTACTTCCACAGCAAATTATAAATAATTACCTTGATTTTAAAAAAGAAAACCCCTGGCCGGGCAATGGGGGCACACACCCTTAATCCCAGCACTTGGGAGCCAGAGGCAGATGGATCTCTGTGAGTTCAAGGCCAGCTGGGACTACAGAGTGAGTTCCAGGACAGTCAGGGCTACACAGAGAAACCATGCCTCAAAGAGAGAGAGAGAGAGAGAGGAAAGAGAGAGGGAGAGAGAGAGAGAAAGAGAGAGAGAGAGGAAAGAGAGAGAGAGCGCCTTTAATTTAAAAAGAAACCTATTGCAACTGTCTTGCACCTTCCAGAGCTAGAGAAACTAAGCAAGAGGACACTTGAGTTCAAAGTCAACCTGGGTTAGAGGACGAGGTCCTGTTGGTCTCAACAGCAACAACACACATACACAAATCATCACATCCTAACACAAATAGAAACAATCTAACAAAAAAAGAATATATCTACTAACACACACACACACACACACACACACACACACACACACACACCCCGCTGTGGAATGGTTTGTCTTTGCTATTAACCTGACTGAGTCTGCAATTACCAGGAGAAACATCAGAGCTTGTCCCTGAGCCCTTTCTTCATACGAAAAGTTCTGTAAGTACTACTTTGCTTCTCTGAGGAAATGTTATGCTTTTCTTCCTCAATGGTGAGGTGAAAAGGTCACGAAAGAGGCCCTGCTTGTTTAGGTTTACACATTAAGTCTACTAGAAGTAGGAACGGCAACGGCAGAAGGAAAACTGGAGCTAAGCAGAAAAGCAGAGAAAGCAGGAATTTGCTAGACACTAACGGAGCATCTCAAGGAGACTCCTGTGAACACAGCTCGGTTCTCGATATGCTGGCAGCACATGGACACTCACAGCTGAGGACCAGGGTCCGTCACTGCATGGGAAATAATTAAAAGGGAACAAAAAGGGGGTGGGATTCTTGTGGTGCTAATTTTATGTCAGCTAAAGTCATCTGAGAAGAGAGAACCTCAATTAAGAAAATGCCTCTGGAAGCTCCAGCTGTAGACACGCACTCAGGGCATTGTCTTAATTAGCGATTGATGGGGAGCGGGAGAGCCCGGGCCATCGTGAGTGGTACCATCCGTGGGCTGGTAGTCCTGGGTTCTGTAAGAAAGCAGGCTGAGCAAGCCCATAAGCAGCATCCCTCCATGGCCTCTGCATCTGCTCCTGCCTCTCAGTTCCTGCCCTGCTTCTTTTCCTGTCCCGACTTCCTTCAGTGATGAACAGCGGTTTGGAAGTATAAGCCTCTTCAGGTTGGCTTTGGGTCATGGTGTTTCATCACAGCAATAGAGAGACCTTAACTCAGACAATGACCAAACCGGCCTGGAAGAATGCTTGTGATTTTTTGTTGTCATTTCACTTGTCCTTTTGAAATAAAATCTCATGTTTTACAGACTGATCACAAAGTTGCTACTTAGCTGAAGATGAACGACCTTCTGATCTTCCTGCCTCTAGCTCCCAGGTGCTGGCTACAGACCTGGTTTTACTTAACAGTTTTCAATAAACACAATTACCTGTGAACTCTTGAGTTCTGGTATCCGCAATTGCTTTGTAACATGAACTGACTCGCAATGGTGTCGCCTGTCATTTTTGTTAGTCTACTTACTTCCAATAGGTGGCACTCTACTCCCTGTGAATGCCCTGAGTCGGCTGCTGATCTGCCCTGTACCAGTCTGACTAGTTCTTAGTGGCTCTGGGCAAAGTATGCATAAGTCACAGGTTTTATATCAAATATCTCTGGTCATTTAACACAAAAAGCCAAGAGCGGTCAGCTGTTGTTTCCGAGGTCACAGTAAGCCGTGAAGCAAAATGTAATTCCTAGCTAGGCATTTCTACTTTGAAGTTTGGGGCAGTCTCTCTTTTTTTTCCATAAGATTTTCCCTTTTACAGTTACAAAGATATGATAGTCTAAGTCTCCCCATTAGCTAACACTCTTATTAAATAGACTATATTTTACTATTTGGAACACTTCTGTGCTTATTATCACCTTTTAAAATAATGGTTCATTGGTTCCTGGAACTGTTAAGACAGTTTTAATCACACTCACATCACACCCCTACCATACTCCAAACGATACTCGGAAAAGCCCCACACTGCACTCTAAAATACCTAAAAAGTATTGCAAGGAAGTATCACAGACTCAAAATCACACAGTGGCTTTGTACCGTCAACATTTCAAATCATCATTAGTGCTCTATCTGTAAGGCTCAAAAAAATGACCACACACAGTTAGCTCTTGGGTGGTAAGACCATTAGAAGTAAGCTGCTACATTAAAACTTGAGAGCAAATAAATTTCAGCTTACAAAACTTGAACCCTAAACAAAATCTTTAAAGAATTAGAGACACTTCCTTTTAGGGCATTCCTACCGTGATTGCTACTTGGAAAGAATGGCTCAGCAGTTAATTCTCTTCTTCCAGAGGACCCAAGATTGGTTCCCCAGCTCCAGAGGATCTGACACTTTCTTCTGGCCTCCACATGTACAGGCGGGAACATACACAGGCACACATACTCCACACATGCACGTGCGCATGCACACACACACACATACACATACACATTAAAGGCAAAAAGCATCTTTGCTATTTTTAAGATAAATATATAGAAAGCATAGCAAGAAACACTATGTTCTGTAGGTACCAAGGTCTTTTTCCCTTCTTCCTGGCTATTCGCAGGGCCATGTGACCTCCGGCTCCCTGGAGATTCTGCACTAGCACTGGCTTGAGGGGATAGCTTAGGAAGAACCTGGCTCTTTGTTATGGTGATTCCACCTGTAATCAAGGTTCTAGCAACGGGCTCCACACACCTGGCCCCTCCCAGCTGATTCTGCCTGAGGCTCCGGGGCCAGTAATCTCCTTCTCCTGCTCCTGATGGGAGGAGGCCTTGCCCTTTTGATCCCCCTTGCCCACTGGTATAAATACCCAACTTGAGTTTAATAAAGTTGCCATTTACTCTTGGTAAGTGAGCAAGGTCTCTTTTGTGTGTGTCTGTTTTAAACCCTCAGGACAATCGTCCATTCTCATGGGCCCGAGTTCAGGAAAGCACGCGCCTGGATCAGGTGTGGGTATCCACAGGAAGGCGGGGTGCTACAATGTTCTACTGCATGAAGAATCAAGAGTGTGGAAATGAGATGAAGCGGGTGATTCTGGGCTATCGGGATGTTTTTGTATAAAGTGTTATTTGAGCCTACATAAACTGAGTGGAGAAACGGACAGATGGAAGTCCTGGGGAGGGTTGGGGTGGTGTTTATAAGTTCAATGGGTACTGAGGGTTTTTTTTTTAAAGGACCTGTCAAAGAACAGAGAGTCATGTGGTAAGGCTTAAGATAAATAAAAGAAGGCAGGGAAGGACAAGCCTACTTAATTTCAGAGGAGAAATTAACATATCCCGATCTCCACGGTTCCTTGATTTCGTATTGAACTGCCACTGTTGCACAAACGGAGAGGAATCAGTGTGGAGCCATAAAGGGGTAGAGTCTAGCTATACAAAAGAGTTTGGGGGTATGGCTGGGTGATACAGAACTTCCCCGATGCTCGCTTTGAACCTCAGCATCATCTCCCCACGACTAAAAAACAGGGCAACTATGTGCCAACCAGCGATAGCATTTCATGTAATCCTAGCAATATATGATGTGTTATTTAATCCTAACAATTCAGGCACAAAACGTTTTCATAGATAAGCAATTGTCGCAAATCAACAACAGCTGGGCTCAGACACACACAGAAGTTGACTGATGGAAAATTACTCAGGTTTGAGGAATGGAGAAGGTGAAAGGTGTGAACAGATCTATGGTCCTAGTAAGAACACACGTAGCAAAAATGATTCGGAACCTTCAAGTCACATATGAAAAAAACTCAGATCCAAAAATGAAGAAGACGGACCATCATAAAATCAGTCCTAAATGAGACTAGGAAGGAAAGGAGGAACAAATTCAAGTCAAATACAAGTCGATTCCTGGGGCATCCCAGAAGAAAGGCTTGCAAGTGATGAAATCAGCCTTATCTGTACACCTTATTGAAAAGCAGGAAAACCTAACTGCTGCAAATACGCTTTATTGCCTCTGCTATGGCAATTCCCATGGCTGTTTAAGTCAAGCTATGACGTCAGAGCACTGATGTGATGGTCACCGTCTGCAATGTCCTCCCCAGAAGAGTGCAGTCAGAGACAGGAGTCCACCAAGGAGAGTCACAAGTATAGCAACCTCATAAATAGGGTTCCATGATGAAACAAGAAACCCCAAAACTACTGCCACGACAAAAACAAATGGAAAAAAAAAACTTACTAAGATTTAAGGAGACTGTAAGACATAGTCAAGAATTATTTCCTAAGGCTGAATTTATTTTATGTTCATCAATTTTTATAATATTAGAGTGTTACATAAAACTTTAATTGATCTAAAATTGTGGTTATGCTGAATGAGGGTTTTACAGAAAGCCACAGTATTAGAACGCAATGACCAACACAATGCTTACTTCTTGTGCCACACATGCACAGATTCATGCTATGCTAAGGCCAAACAGCTTCAATTTCTAACACATGCTACTGGATATCAACACAAGGGTGGAGGTAAGAAGTGAGTGTGGTCAGGTATACAGTTCATGTAACTTTCCACTTCAGGGAGAAACGGAAAACTACCAGGGGCTTTGATCCATTCTCCCAACGTTTGTGTTAAGTATTCAAAACCATCAGCCTCCTAAATCGTATCTTGGTTCCTTGCTAGTTCAAGTTTGATTTTCTATTTCTACTAGATGCACCAAGGTTTATAGGATTAAATCAGTAAATCGGGAACGGGGGGAAATCCATAATGTTGCATACAAATCTATTTGTTGGGGTAAATAAGAAAATGTGGCATTCTAAGCAAAATAACTCTTCCACCACAGCAGCCTGAAGGGGAAACAAGAAGGGGAAGGACTGTATGCTGCAGGTTCCGGCTTTCAAGCCTCGACTTGCAAATGGAATATTTAGGAGAGGCTTACTTTTAACACCTATTAATAGAGAACGAGATGCATCAAAATCCCAAATCTTAATCAGTGAATTGAGCTGGTAGAATACATAGTCTTGATATTAAAACGTTGTGAGAGATTCACTATTTTAGCACTTACTTTAAGAAAAAGAAAAGGTAACAACTAAAAATGACAGCAGATGTATTTTGTCAGAGGAAAAAAACAATGAAGACATATGCCACAGAGGTTTCAATGGTGGCAGAGGAAAGTGGGGTCGTGGTATTTTAGCGACTGCAGCATACCTGCCAGGAACAGTAGTAGATTTGAGAATGTCTCCAGGCAGGACCACCGAGAGGTCAATGTCTTTATCTACCATATTTTCATTTCGCTCCGCGGTGACAGCAGTCGATTCTCCAGGCTCCTCAGAAGAAGAAACACCCATGCCCTTCGTCTCAGCGGGAGGAAGGGGGGCCTTCGCTTTTGGTTTCCTCCTAGAATAAAAAGAAAATCCGGAAAATAAAATATCTTCAAAGAAGCTTTCTAGTACTATCTACTTTTATAAAACTCCCAAGTCTAAATTTAGATTATTTTCACATCCAGGACAATCAGAATTTGTTAGGAGACATGAACTATAAATAGCCAATAAGCACATGAAAATGTTCATCCGTAGCCATCAGGTAAACAATCTAAAGGACAATGAGAGTCCATCTCTCCTACTCAGAATGGTGGATATAATTTTAGAAAAATAAGAATAAATGATGCTAAGATGCACAGGAAAACAGTAAGTATGACTGTAAACTGGTCAAACGACTTCAGAATTCTGTACAAAGCTTCTGGGGGGAAAAAAAAAAACCAGAGCAGATGGACTGTGTGACCCAGTGTTCCCCTCCCAGGTGTTCACTCAAAGGACAGTAAGTCAACATATGGGGATCCTTCCTCTGGGACTGCTACTGCACCACTATTCACAAGAGCCACACTGTGAAATCACGCCAGGTGCCCATCAAGAGGAATGCATACAGAAATCAGGTATATGAACACATAACAGCATTTCATTCGGCTGCAGACTGGAATTATGTCACTTGTAATAAAACTGATATGCAACCGAAGATTTTAATATTAAGTGAATTCTGACTTGGAGAGACAAATAATGCCTGTTTCCACTCATCTGTGGACCCTAGCTTTTATACAGACACACAGCATCATTTCTGTGCACACGACCTAAAAGTAGAAACAACTGTCTATGGGAATGGCGGTGGCGACTAGGAGAGGGGAGAGAGGAGAGGACAGGAGGTGAGGGCCAAGTGCGAATGGCGTTCCATGCATGTACGAAAACATCCTGATGAAAACCAGAGCTATCTATGTATCATGAATATACACTTTTAGAAGACAACAAAATCTATATTGGCCTTCATGTGGTTTAGCAAATGTTCATTCCTAACACATTAAGAACATCATTTCTCGTCTTTGATGCGGCTACATTAACAATGTTTCAGGAAGGACTACTCACTGTACTATAGACCTTACAAAGGCTCCCGAGTCTGCCGTCCGTTCCGCTCTAGTATGCCCTACTTCTCAATCCAGATAAACCTTATCTGTCCATTATAGTCTATCTTAGCTTACCCTCTGCTTCCAAACACGTACACAGAACTTCTTTCTTTGAATGGATGCAGCACATGCAACTGAATCTCTAAATTTAGCAATCTCCTTCCTTTTTTTCCTGATTACCAGATCATCCCTTTGAATTTATAATTCCATGAAAGAAGAAAGTAAGTTGGAAGAGGCTGTATCTGCTACCGCCCCCTCCTAGCAGTGAATGATGAACTGTCTCACTGCAAGACACACATCGGGGCATGGCTATTACCCGGTGGGCATTTTCAGACAAGTTTAACTGAGGCCGGAAACAACCACCCTGAATGTAGGCACCACCGACCGGAAAGCTAAGGTCCAGACCTCATAGAAAGGAGAAAGGGAGGAAACACAGGCGCTCACCACTGCCCTAGAATCCCAACCTCACAACTTCCTCGCCATGGTGGACTATATAGACAAATCGGGAGCCAAAATACACTCTTCATTGATTTTGTCAGACACTTCGTTGCAATGATAAAAACCACAAAGTAACTTGCCTAACCCTATGGCTCACCGACCTGTAAAATGGCTTTGTAAAATATAGAAGGATTAAGAGCTGTAGACTAGGAAGGCCCAAGAATGCCGTGAGCAGAACTGAAGGGGCCATTCAGAGTTTCTGCAGACCAGAATACCTGCAGAAATACAGGCAGCAGAACTCAGGCTGTGGAGAAGTTTCTGAGAGGAACAGGACTCTATCAGGAACCAGGTGAAAGGCCATTCATGCTGTGTTCTGTGAAATCTGGCTGCATTCTAGAAGACCTGAGTGAGGCTGCAGGCAGGGGACTGTGATGTGCTACAGAGCAATTTTCAAGGCAGCAAAACATTGAGACCATGGCCTAGTATTTGCTTGCTACATTTACTGAGGTTTATGTGAGACTCAGTCAAAATTACAAAGTATGCAGCTTAGCAAGGAAAGGAACTTGAGTATGGTGAAAGATGTAGACGAGACTGAAAGGGATTTTTAAAAGCAGTGAGAGATTAATTCATGTCATTAAAGAGAAATTGTGGGTTCTTTACTGTGTACCAGGAAAGATATCCCAAGGGCAAGACTCCTACGGACAGCACCAACTTCTAGCAATGCAAATTCATTTGAAAAGGGAGATCCAGAATTGAAAATGCCACTGACAGCCTCCCCTATTGCAGGGACTCCCTGCTCATAAACAATTACATAGGAAAAGTTATCTTCCTAGTTTTGCCTGCCACAGAACACAAAGGCCAAGGCGGTTATGGAAGAGGAGTCCAGACTGTATCTTGAGCTGGCAGCAGAACTTGGGAACACCATCTACAAGAGGCTGGATTTACAGGCATGTAAAATGAAAGAATTATGGAATCACGGTGGCTTATACCATGGTTTTAGGAAGCTGTTGAGGCCAGGCAAAGTTAGGTTCCCTACTTTTGAAACACTGTTGCATGGCACCGTGAAGATAAAGCCTAAACTGCAGCAAAGAACCCAGTATGTTGGGAATGCCAGTACCACTGGATGCCCACTAAGGAAAGCTGCAGGCATGGCATGGAGGGGATCTGGTCTAAGTGAGAAGCTATGGATGCTGTAGACAGCAGAAGTGAAGGACTGAAGTCTGGTAAAGTCTGTTGGAGCTCAGAGGATGCCACCATAGGGACAGGAAGCTGGGGATTTGATGTTTTACCTGCTTAATTTCCTAGTGTATTTGCACAGCCTTCCCTTTCTTTACCTCTATTCCTTCTCTTTGGAATGTGTATATTTACACTATTCCAATGTATATTGGAAAAAATGATAATATAGTTTTTAAACAATTTTATTATAAAAGGTCTCACAGTTAAGAAACTACCTTGTGTCTCATAAGACACTTAGGACTTTTGGACAGTGCTAGAATTATTAATATTTTGGGGGTTCTTACAAATGAACTAAATGCCTTTTGTGTTATGAGATGGCCATGAGCCTTGGAAGACCATGAGTGTGGGTTATGGATTAAACAAGGTTTGATTGTCAAGCTGACATAGGATAGACTTGTAGTTGGTTAATATTCACAGTTAGCATGGATAGACTTAAAATCACCTATGAGGAATAACTTCTTGGTGTTTTGGTTAAAAATAAGATCAAGTGTAGAATTGCCTGACAGACAGACCTATGGGCCTGTGAAAGTGTTTCCAGAAAGATTTACCTGAGGGAGGAGGACCCATCCTTCTATGGATGGTGCCATCCCAAGGGCTGGAAGCAGAAACCAAATGAAAAAAAAAAAACCAGCATAGAGAGCTGGAGCCTGCAAGATTACATTCCTCTCCTGACTGACCAAGGACGCCACGGCCTCCCCTCCCCTGCCATGATGAACTATACTTCCTTAAGTCGCTTTCATAGGCATTTTGCCACAACAAGAAGAGTAACACAGTTATTTCATAAATTACAAATTGAATGTAATGAATTTTCACAAATAACTGTACTAATGAATGCTTTCAATGTCAAGAGGACAATGAGGCTACTTGGGCATCCTAAAAACAACTCCTACAGAACCAAATGACAGGCGTGATAAGCTTTTAAAAAATAAAATGTGAAAAAAAAAACCTGTAACTAATCACTTTTTAAATATTTAAATAAAATTAACTTTAAAGTTTGAAAATATTATCTTAAAAAATAATAAATGATTGCAAGGCCAGAGAATTAGTTCCAAGATTACAAGCACTGGCTGCTCTTCCCAAGGACCTGGGATTCACTTCCAGCATGCACATGGCAGCTAGCAACCACCTATAACTCTAGTTCCGGAGCTGTGACACCCTTCCCGGGTCTCTGCGGGCAGCAGGCCGGCAGTGCACAATCGTATGTGCAGTAAAATGTTTTACACATAAAAATAGCGCTTCAAAAACTATTTGCTTTGGGAGGAAGAAAACTATTTATTTCCTTTCAGGAAAAATATAAATTTTAAGTCCACGTTTCCTGAGAAAATATAAGAACCACACAAGATACAATATACCATCCTCCAACTCAGTGTTTCCAAAATCTCCAACTTATAAATGCAAGCATCTTTACACACTACCATAGACAGACAAAAGTACTTCTTTGTATACAAGTTATTCCAAGAAATAGTCTTTAATTTTTTGTTATATCATCAGATTTATATTTAGGAAAGGCTTCTTTTATAATTTGCAACAAAATAAAAATTCAAAATGGTTACTATAGATTTTTTTAATCTACAAAGAAAACGCTACCCTATTCTAAATTTTAATCTGTAGAAACTGACTACTCATGTATCACAAGTATTATTTCTATAATAGACAATTTTGGTACCTAATTCAAGAAAGAACAAGAGACCTAAGAACAAATGATTCAAATGAGAGTTTCCAAGGGCATGGCCCACAGGGTTGATGGACGTACAAAAGTGCCTTAAGTCTGCAAAGGATCGAAGCTACCTGTGCACAGTTCCGCCGAGAGTCACCACAAGAGAATCTCATTTTCCTGGGATGCAAAAAGTTCTGAAGTATGGGAATGCACTGGATCTCGGTGATGAAATATAAATATATGAGAAATGATTAGAAATTATTTGTGTTTCTGGCAGAGAAAGCAAATGGAGCCATAAAAGAAAACAGTACTTCTTAGAATTGAACACTACGGTAAAATTCTACAGAGAATGGGGACAAAAAGGCAGTGAATCAGTTGAAAAGATAAGAGGAGTCAATACAGTAGCTTAGTATCAAGAAATATGCTTAGTTCAATAGCCTACTTACACATAAGCAAAAACTAATCAGAAAGGACAGTGATCAAAAATTCCTCCTATAACAGCAGAAAAATGAGTCAGAAAGACTCCAAGCTTCCCCACTTCTGCCAATGACATTTCTTTCAGGTCTCTGGAACTCAGAATCCCCTTTCTTAACACTATATATCTAATCCCC